CACTTATTTTCAGTGCTTATGTTCTGTGATGCTTTACTTTGGATCGATGAGTCTGCTTTGTAGCTTTGAGCCATGGAAGGGTGGCAGTGGTGGTGATAGAGCAGCTTGGGCATGCCAGCCAGCTCTGGACTGCTGATACAGCTTAGAAAGGCTTAATAACGCTTTGGTATGAAGCTTTGGGTGGGGATGCTAAGGCTGGGCTTGCCCTCAGGGCAGGTATGTACACAGTCTTAGTGAGGAATTCGGTTTCCTTTAGCTGCTGGGGCTGGACTTGCTGCTTCAGAGCCCTCTGTTACACCCCAGGCCACAGCTGTATGTGGCTGTGGAGCCAGGATGTATGCACCCTGTTACTTGCTACTCCACAAGCTGAGCTGTGGCCTCTTCTTAGTTCAGAGCAGCAGAAAAGCACCTTGAGCCTGTTCCAAACAAAAGACTTTAATATTAAAATAGTTTAATAATCTGTTACTAAAATAACATTGCATTTCCTCCCCCCCAACACCCCCCGAGCTCTAAAGTGCAGGTTCTGTTTGTACTCAAAAATAAGCATACTTACACTACAAAAATAAGCATACTTTGTAAGGACAGAGCAGCCTTCCTCATTGATTTATTGTTTGCTTTCCCTGCCAGCAGTGGCTGGTACATAAGCATGGAGCGGTGCTGTAGTAGACAGGTAACTCCCAGTCTATTGACTGTAAAAGCTGTAACCTGGCTACCTTGCAGGGAAGGAAGTGGGAAGGGATGAAGCCTAACACTGGCCAGGGACAGTCTTATGCTGTTTGTCAAAGGGGTTTAGCTTAAAGGCTTCCTAAACTGGATTGAATCCCAGGGTTTCTGAACTTAAGGGTGTTGGGATCAGGTGTGCTGCTGCAGAGCTAGCAGGTGGGGTGGAGGGAGCTGTTCTGGGTCAGGCTCTGGGTGCTTTTACCTTAAAAACAAAGATAAAGTGCACTTTTTGGTACTGCACAGCAGCTTCCAGGACCTGCATGAACTGCCAGTGCAGCACAGGGAGGCCTCGTGTGTTCCTGATGCATTTGTCATAGGTCATGTTATTACTAGTAACTAATTGTGCAGATTGAAGGGACTTCAGGTTTTCAGCAACTTTTCTATGCCCATTCTCACCAGATCAGCACCACTGACAGAGGTTGTGTAGAACAACCTCTTCTGCCTGCAGCTTTGTAGAAGCTCGCTCCAAGCCCTGAAGTGAAATGTGTAAGGATACAGATCCTTGCAGTCCCCAGGGATCCTGCTGCGTGACGTGGGGCTGAGGCAAGACCTTGGAGCACCTCGCAGCTCCCTGATGTAAGTCAGCATTTCTTCTCTTGTGCCAGCCACGTCATCTGTAATCCTAAACCAAATGCTTCCCACTTGTACAAAGGCAACTGCAAGTAACCCAGGTGAAGGGCTGTGATTGGAGCAGCTGCTCAAAGCTTAAACTTAAGGAGAAAGTAAATTCCACTTCAGCTTGTGGAGCCCCTCAAATCCCTCTCCCCACCTCCTTCCAGTAGCACAAGCAAGTTCTAGTACACAGGTCACCATCAACAGTTCATATTTCAGCTTGGCATAATGTATATAAATAAATTATATTAATTTAACCCAATGTAAGACACTTTAAATAAACAAAATGCTAAAGAGTGCCACCTCCTGTCCAGTTATTTCCCAGCAGGAATACCGAGTGCCTCGGTGTTCAGTGGCTCTGCAGTGTCCACAACCCTCAAGTCTTGACGGGGATGGTTTGTTTGCATCCAGCAGCGCTGCCATCTGCCTCAGGTAAGCCCACGGAGTACTCTGTGGTGGCAATGAGCAGCATGTCCAGGGTTGTCTCAGTACACTTTGCAATGAAGCGTATGAAAGGCCTCACATCGCCCTCGTTGGCCACTTCCAGGACGTGATAATACTCGGCCCGTTGCTCCTTGCGGATGGTGATGGGGGGGTAACCCGCCTGCATCAGGATGAGGTTCATCAGCAGGCGCGAGGTCCTCCCGTTGCCATCTGTAAATGGATGGATATAAACCAACTTGTAGTGGGCTAAAGCAGCGAATTCCACAGGGTGCAAGCTCATGGCATCTTCCGAGTTCAGCCACTGCACGAACTCCTCCATCTGCTTCTCGACATCCCTGGGATGGGGTGGGATGTGATGCCCTACAAACACATGCGTAGTCCTGAAGCGCCCTGCCTCCAGCGGGTCAGCATAGCCCAGCACCCTCCGGTGGATCTCCAGGATGTCACTGGTGGTGACTGAGCCGATCCGGGACACCAGGGTGGTGTTGACATACTTGAGAGCTGCGTGCATGCCGATCACCTCGTTCTGCTCCACTAAGCTCTTCCCAGGAACGGCGTATCTGGTCTCAATGATGTGCCGGATTTCGGCCAGCGTCAGAGTGTTGCCTTCAATAGCAACCGTGTGGTAGATGTGGTGGTAGTAGGACTCCTCCATCACCCTGCGCAGGGCGGAATTGCCTTTGGGAATTGCCATCACCTTCTTCACCTTGCTGTCGATAATGCTGAAATACCTCTGGTCAATCTCTTCCACCAAAGGGAGCGTCCGGTCCCGATGGATCAAAGCCTTCTCGTTGAAGGGGGAAATGGTGAGTGCTTTGGAGTACAAGTAATCGGCTTGAAGAATGTCTTTTTCCTCTTCAGAAAAGATCCCAAACTCAGTCAGGGCATCCACATAATCAGGGTCCATTTTGAGGGCATACACAAAGAGTTTGTGGGCTTTCTCCCGCTTGCCTTGGCGCTTCATTTCCAGGGCTTGGTTCAGAGCTGCTCTAGCTTCCAACTTCACCTCTGCAACACAAGAGCAGTCAGATAACAGGGCACTGAGGTTACTGGAAACTTCAGGACCGTCACTGCTAAATAACTAGTCTAAAGGAGAACTTGCATTGCAGCCTCTGCTAGGTTACAAGCACAGAGGCTTATTTATGCCACAGTGTGGCAGCCGAGCTGTTCCCAGCAGGAAGCGTGGCGGGATCTGTCAGCACCATGGCTCACGCTGGCCACAGGCCTGTTGCATCCCAGCAGAACTCGCTTTGGCCACCAGGCTGCTGTGTATGGGAGGACACAGAGCCTCAAGTACACTCGTGGATAATTAGCACCTGTTCTCCTGCTAGAAGCACAGCCCACAGCTGCTGACAGCGCTTCTGCTTCTTCCCTGACTATCAAACATCTTCCCAGCTTTCATGTGAACAGAGATACAGTGCTGGAATCGTTACCGTTCCTCTGAATGTTCCCCAAATTAATATCCCAGCCACTAAAGGCAACGACCACAGCCTGTCATTGCTAGAAAAGCTGTTCTGGGACTCCCAGGATGTCAGGATTAAGGCTGTATATCCCAAGTAACTGTGTATTAAACCAATCACCAGGTTTCCCAGTTACCTTCACAGAACTTAATAGCACTAAAAGCATGAGGAAAACCTGAGAGGCAAAGCAGCATCAAGAGAAGGCTGGTGCTGGCCTCTGGGCTGTTCACAGCCAATGTTAATCTGCAGTTGGGCACTGAGCATTCAGTACTATTACGGGGTGGGGGGGTGGATCTATAGTGGTTGTCACTATACAGCAGCTCTATCCCCCAGGATGCTCTTACCTGGGGAGGCTTTGCCTTTCAGCACCAGCAGCTCCAGCCCGTTGGAGGCCACGCTGAGCTCTGTGGTGTGCCCTGTGTACCGGGTGAGCCCCGAGGAGCCAGCGCCCAGTTTACCCTTCAGGAAGGAGAGCCCCTGGAGCACTGCGTGGCACTGGTCCTCCACAGCTGGCAGCAGCAGCACCAGGAGCAAGCCCAGGAGCAGCGCCAGCACTGCTGCCCACCTGATGCGGGCCCACAGCATCACCCATTGCAGCTTGGGATCCGTTGCCATAGACATCAGGTTCATCCTGCTTCCAGCACAGACCTGAGGAGCATCTCCTTCCCCTCCGCTCCCACCTGGGGACAGAAACAGCTTTAGCCTGAGCTATCATGGGGCAGGACATGCCGGGCTTGACCATCTATCCCCTGGGGCGGTGTCGCAGCTGTTGGGGTTATCCCCCTCTCCCTGCACCTCCAAACAAGGCAGGGCAGTATCCACCACAACGCGGATCCTTATGGGACCTACGCTTTACCGTAGCAGCATGAGGAGATGCTGACACCCACAAGCAGGGTGGGCGCCGGGCTCTGAAGAAGGAAGGGGCTCTATCCTGCACAGCGGCCCTTTTCCCCCTTCTCCAGGGGGCCCGAACCCCCTCCCGGTGCTGGGGTCTCTCCCCATGCCCCCATCTTCCCGTTCCCCCTCACCCTCCGGCCCCAGTCCTCGCCTCACCTCAGGCCGGGTCCACCATCACCTCCACCGCCGGTTAAAGTAACCCCACCCGCCCAAGCCCCGCCCTCCGCGCCCTACCATTGGCTGCATCGCCTCACTGCTCCTCTTCTATTGGCCCTCGCAGCTGACACTCTTCTGCGTTCCTTCCTTCTTCCTGCCCTCCGCTTCCCGCAGCGTCTTCCGCGTAACGCCACGCCTCCAGCACGCGAGAGGCTCGTGGAGGATGACAATTGGCCAGTGGACACGTCAATCATGTGAGAACAACCAATCATAAGGCGAGATGGAGAGAGGGCGGGCACACGCGCTATATTAGGGCTGGGCGTCCGCCTGCCGGTTGCTAGGTGACGGTTGCGGTGCAACGGAGCGCTCCGCCGGGCTCCCCTCAGGCTCCGCCGGGCTCCCCTCGGGCTCCGCCGGGCTCCCCTCGGGCTCCGCCGGGCTCCCCTCGGGCTCCGCCGGGCTCCCCTCGGGCTCCCCTCGGGCTCCGCCGGGCTCCCCTCGGGCTCCGCCGCTGCCCCGGGGCTTGGGCCGGGTCCGGGGGGGCCCAGGCCGGCTGCGCCGCTTGAGAGAGGTCGCAGCTCCTCGGCTGTTGCATCCTCCCCTATGGAGAGGTTGGGGGGGCCCAGGAAACCCTTCTCGGTGCTCGCAGTTTGTTTGTGTGGTAAACCCACCTTTTCCGTGTGGGAATAGTGTTCTTATTGCGTGTATCCGTGGTCTTTCTGGTAAAATCCTCTCTTTTCTTGGTGGAAGGGAGTAGAGTGTGTCGGTGAGCAGTGGATGCTGGTGCTCGGCGGCCTGGAGCTCCCCTGGAGACCAGGAATGGAATGGGGAGAGAAAAAAGCTTAAGGAAAAGAGAAGATGTAGGGAATTGAAGGCAGGTCCCTCAGATTTCAGTATCTAGCGAGAGGATGCAACCGTTTTCTGCCGGCTGCTTGCACAGCAAATCATCACTGCAGGTAAAACAGCCTGGTTTGTTCGGAATAGATCCTGGCAACTCAAACCATCCGTTGTAGCTGCCGATAGTGGAGAAGGGGCTATGGGGCAGTGGTGGGACGAGCTGCTTTTGTGCCCATCAATCAAGGAACACGCTACCGGTAAGAGCATAGCATGGGGCATGCCGCTGTGTGTGCACAGCATCCTGACCCAGGTCAGCTTTGTGCTGCTCCTACGCTAACTGCTTCCTTCACAAACAGTGCTGCGTTACAAGGAGGTTTCCAGAGTCGGACTTGCTTGTTTCCAATGGCAAAGGCAGCTCTCGCAGGCGTTCATTGATTTGACTGGGGTTGACACAAGCAGCTTGGTGAGCTCAGCTCAACCAGCGTCCCCAGAAAGAGACTGACAGCACCTCAGCAAGCGGAGCCCAGGGCAATCCCAGCAGCGCAACATTGCCACGTCCTCCAGCCGTGTGGAGCCTGCCAGAGCCTGGGAATGCCGAGAGGTGAGTCCGGGGGATAATCAGCATTGGAGGATGAGCAGATGTATCTGCCCTCCAGGAGGAAGTGTCCAAAAGTGCCTCTTTTCCTCAGTGATCTGGCATCTCAGCCCAATTATAGAGCAATGATGTATTTGTCTTTTATTAATGGTGACAAGCACATTGACAGTCTGTTTCCCAATTAACTAGGATCCAGCAGAGGGGAACAACAGGGATAGCAAGGAATACCTGGCATCTCCTCCTGGCTTTGACGCCTTGTGGTAGCCTTGGAGCAGTTCTTTGTGACTGCTGTGCTGGAAGCTGAGGATGCCACGCCATCCCTTGGGAATGCTGGCAGTGCTGCTGCTATTTGGCACTGCCACAGCTCTTCCTCAGCAGATCTGGGCCAGCTCAAGGGTTGCCATTGCCAGTACATCATACATCACAGTTATGATTTTGTCAGGGATAGCAAAGGGAGATCCTGATATAGATGGTAGGAAAGAGTAAGGCTGGAAAGGCTGAAGCTGTAGCCCCAGGTTGGGGCTCCCTCGGCATGGTTGGATGCGGCTTGGTCCATGGTTGTGCCCGTGGGCTCCTATCTGGACCTTTAACCTCTAGGGGGAATTTGAATGGTGCTGTTGGCTATGGAATGGCAGAGGGATGCTGGAAGCATTACAGCTGTGCCATAGGAGACAACGTGTAAGAGACTGGTTTTTATCCCCTCAGTTCCGAGACCGAATCCAGGGAACGGGAAGCGAGCAGGTCCCTGCAGCCGGTAGATGGCACTGACTCATTTCACTGCTCCATGGAAGCCTCCAGCGCGTTGCAGCCTCCCCCCCCGCCACCCCGGACCTTTTACACCACCTGCCTTTAGAGGCAGCCGTCACGAAGAACATATTTGGAGGTTGAGTAAGGCTCTGGCTTCCTTTTGGAACTGTTTGTACCGGGATACAAATCGCCTGTCAGCGCGCTGCGGAGGTTCGGGGGATGTGACACTGATGAGGTGTAGCTGGGGCTGCGGCACAGCCCTCGCGTCTCCCTGGAGCCTGTGTCTGTTGGGCTGATGCTGTGATGATCTTACCTGAGGAGATGGGATAAGGCAGGAATATTATGGTCCTTTCTCTCTGGCTTTCCTGGGCCATGTGCTAAAAGGAAGAAGCAAAAGGGAGGACTTGTTTGCCTTCCACTTCCAGCCTCTGGTCTGGTTGTGCTGCAGAGATAGAGCACTTTGTCCCCATGAACCTTGCTGTGCTGGGGGTCTGTTTTGTCCTCCCCCCTACCTGGGTATCATCTATTTCCCATGCTCTTGAGCAGTGCCATCAGGGCTTGCTGGCAACTGGTTGTCCTCGAGTAGTTGTGTTAAACTGAGGCAATGAGGTGGCACTGATCTGCTCGAGGCCATGGGAAAGGCTCCCTGTCTCTACGAGGGTCTGGTTGTCAGGAGAAGCCACTGGATGCAGAGGCAGAATTGCCCGTTGAAGTGTGGGGATTTTAATGGATGAACAGATGGGCAAGGAAGAGCTCAAACGCCTGCTGGTAAAGCTGCCACCCAGGTCAAAGCAAGGTGGTTGTGACAAATGGTTTTGACATTCTTGGCTGGGCTCTTTGCAAGGCAAATGGAAACCACGTCCCGGATCCAAGTGCAAGACCAAAGGGATTTTTAATTAAAGAGAAAAAGGAAGGGTAAGCAAAAAGCAAGAGCTGGATTGCACCGTGGTGATTACTCCTGCTAGCTGCAGAGGCTCTGAGCGAGGGGGGTCAAGGCTAAGGGAACGGTTTAAAGCTCTTAGTACAGACATTGAGAAGCACAAACAGCAGACTGAATAGAAAGCTGAAAACAAAGCACCAAGATGGTGATGAACAGAGGGCTTTGTTGGCCCTCTTAACAAATAATGAGGGATGAGCCTCTGGGACAGATTGGTTTGTGGCGCTGGGAATAAATGGACAAAAGGAGGACTTTCAAAGCAACGCTGCAGCTGAGCTTGTAACATCAGACCAGTGAGCTTGTTTCAACCAGCAGGTCCCAAGCAAAGCCACTCTGCTGTGTCTGGGTATTATGAGGAAGGCAGTTTAGAGGGAAGAAGGGAATAAGGAGTTCCATCTGTGTGGAAGAAAAGCTCTTTCACGGTTGCACTTGTGGTCAGCGTGGTTTTCCAATCAGCTGTGTGAAGGTCTGGGAGGCAGGGGGGCACAGAAACACCCATGCAAAGGGAGCAGGGAATGCTGCAGGGCTGGTTCTGTCCCTAGGCAGGGACAGAGGTGGAAACAGCAGCGCTTGGAACACCTCCTTCTGGTATTCATGATGAGTTTTGAACCATGGTGATGGTAGCTAAGGGGAATGGGGAACAAACCTTGAGAAATCTTGGGAACATGTTTTATGGGAGAGGGCACTGTTTCTTATGGCAATTCCTGTTCTCGCTGGGTGTCGGAGCTCTGTGGAAGCTGAGGGGTGTAGACGTATATGTTCCCAAAGGACATTTCTTGGGGACCTCGGTCTGTTTCTAACATCAAACCTCACTTAGGGACACGTACTTGCAGTCCCCAAGCTCCGTGCCTCGGAGGGGACCTGAGAGAGAGCTGAGGAGTGGCTGCAGGCTCCTCTCCAGCCCGTCCTTGAAGCAGAGGTGCAAATGCTGACTCTTTTATTACCCAGTCACTCTGGACTAACTGCCACATACACTTGACTAATGTGACTCCACGCCAGGCAATCTGGAGATATATTAAACCCGGGAGCTGCCGCTGCGATGATTTGCATGTCAATAAGAGAAGGGAAATTGCCTGCCACAGTCTCCTCTCTGGGTTGTGATCCTGTGGAGTGCCAGGTATCCCCAACCGCAGTCCATTTAATTGATTCCAGGAGGCACTGGAGACCTCCTGGGATAATGAGGGCTTCTGGGGCAAGATGCTCACTTAATCTCTTGCTGTTATCTCCCTGTGCCTCTGGCTGAGTGAAGGGGGATGTCAGCTAAAAATGCAACAGAAGTGATGCTCGGTAAGAAAGATTTAGCGTCAAAGCCTCTGTAGGCGCATGCTCCTGCTGCCCATCCTCATGGCACACTGCACCCAGCTTCACTGCTCGCTGACCAAACCCTGGGGAGCACAGAAACCTGCTTAGGACGTGGCCCAGGGATGCAAACAGCCTGCTGGTGCTTTCCAGGTACCAGGGGAGCCATGGGATGAGTGCGGGATGGGGAACTGCCTGTGCTGCGGCAGAGCCCTCTCCTCCCCCTGGCCCGTTCCTGGGGGCACGTTTGAGAGATGCAGCATTTAATAGCTCAAGCTCTGCACGCCTGCTGTCTCCAGGGCTTGTAATGTAGGATGAGGAGGGCTAAAACAGGCAAGAGGGGTGGGTGTGTTGTAGGAGCAGATTACAAAAGGAGTTATTTTACCCTGGAGGAGGCTCGGCTCGCCCCTGCTAACATAGTGACAGCTATCAGCTGTTCCACAGAGATCTGGGAGGGTGAAGCAGCAGCTTGGCCCTTCTTGCCAATGCAGTGGTGGCACAGGCTGGGCTAAAGGTGGTGCATCCCACAGGAACATGAGGCTCCAGAGGTGGGGTATTCAAATGGCTCTGTTTGTGCTGAGTGTTCAAAGCATAAACCAAAGCAGGTGGCTGATCCTTTATAAGTGATAGGGCAGCTCTGTGGTTGGTAACAGGGGTGTGGAACCCTGACCTCGGGAGCCCTGTGCAGTCTCAGCACCTACACTGAGAACGAAGGCAGTGGTTGGGAGAAATGGATGTGGTAAGCACCCTGTGCTGTCCTCAGCAGAGTTCAAGCGCCAGCTTGAGGGTCCCTTTGGAAACAGGGAGAAAGAGCATGTGTAGTTCCCACCTTCCCATGGATCTCTATTCATTTTCCAGTGTGTTGCTAAATAAAATGTGTCCTCTGCAGTTCCTCCAAATCAAAACCCAGGCTCCCCTTTCCCCCCCTGCCATTAACAGTGCAGAGCACAGCCCCTATTTACTACCAGCAGCGTAACTCCATTTCTCTCAGGTTCCTCCAGCGCTCTGCAAGGCTCAGAGTTGTTAAACATTTCACTTTATATGCCTGGATTTAATTACTTGGGAGATGGAATGTTAAATCTCCTTCACTGGGCTTTATGGATTTCAACAGGAAGAGGCAGGGCTGGAGAGGAGCTCTGTGTAAATCTCTCTGTGCTGTATGTAGGGCAGCAGCTTTCGCAAGCGCTCCGCATCGCATGGGAGCTCCTTGCTGTGCCACGCTCACACAGCTCTTCCCTGCAGACACCAGGCACCACTCTGGCCTTGTCCTGAGCCCTGTCTGCTGGCTGCCTGCTCCCAAAAGGGGTGGTGCTGGGCCTGGAAAAGCTAAAGGACCCCTTCCACTGGAGCAGCTTGCTCCAAGCCCCTGTGGCCTTGAGCACTGCCAGGGATGGGGCAGCCACAGCTTCTCTGGGCACCCTGTGCCAGCGCCTCAGCACCCTCACAGGGAAGAGCTTCTGCCTAAGAGCTCATCTCAGCCTCCCCTCTGGCAGGTTAAAGCCATTTCCCTTGGCCCTGTCTCCAGGAATCCAATGCAAGTAGGGCATGCACCTTGCCTCCCTTGTCTCAGAGCTCTGTCCATTCTGGAAGCAATTACAAGACTGCCATTTCTCCCAGACATGGCAAATTGCTTTAGGCAAGAGCTAAGAGCTCGGTGGAGTTCCTGCAGTGGAGCTGAATGTCTCGGTAAATGGCCAGTGCTGGGGCATCATTCAGTGCAGCTCCTCTGGGGATGGAGCCATAGCTCAGGCCCTGGTGCTGCTCAGTGGATGCAGCACAAGCCAGGATGATGCTCTCTCCTTCGGTGGGGATCAGCATTCAAGGGCTGTTTACTCTAGAGGGAAGCAGGAATGTTTCTCCTTGGTCTGCATTCTGGCTGATGATCTGTGTCCTACATCCAGGGTGAGCATGGCAGAGAAGAGCTTAAGGATGGAGGTGGCCCTTTGCTGCATGACCGCTTGGCCTCTGCTGCGGGATGGCTGCATCACTCCTCAGTCCAGCTACCAAACTAGAGACAGTGCAGGCACCAGCAGCTCCCTGGAGGTCAGGAGTAAGCAGCAGCCTCACAGTAAAGTAGCCTCTTTTATAGGTACTTTATTTGCAGACGTTCAATCGATGCTCCTGGTGACACTTGGGGTTTGTGCCTGGGCAGGCTCCCCAGCATCCCAGAGCACAACCCTGGTAACAAGCAGGCTCCTGCAGAACCCAATCTTCGCTGTGATTTTGCTCTTGCTTAGTTATTGCATTTAGTCTTTAGTGACTACAGAGCTGACAGCTGGTAAAGATTTGCATAGGGCATGAAATTGAGTTAATTTTAATGTCTAATCTGTGCAAAGCTGACATTTGGTTTCTAAAAGCCTTGCTTTGCCTTATCACTGCTGCACATCTGCTTCACGCATTAGCCTTTGATTCCTAGAAGTTTATTTTCCCTGTGTGTCACCAGGATAAACAATTAAAGCAGAGCTTTGAGATCTTTATGAGCGCTTTAACGCCAGAGCTCAGGACCCTCTGGGCTGTGCAGGATGCATTCTGCAGGGCCAGTGAGGAGCATCCCTTGTTTCCAGCCTGTCTTCCTGCAGGAGCTGCCCAGCCCTTGCTGCCGCAGCATGTTGGGCAATGTGCCCTGGGATTACACCACACCAGCTCTAAAGGGGCTCCTTCCAGCCAGCACCCCTTTGATCTGCTTCCCTCCAGCGTGCAGAAGTCACTTCTAAGCCTTTGCTTGTCCTCAAAGCATGAAGCTGGCTTCAGAACTGGGCTGTGCTGTTCATTTCAGCTTCTCTTTGCTCTTGTCTTGTTCACCTCTTGTGTGAAGAAGAGTTGAGAGGGAAAAGAACAGTGGCCAGCGTGCGGTGTGCTCAGGGAATACAGACACAATTCCTCACGTAGCAGGTCCTGCAGCTCATAGAATTCCCATCTCCCAGTCGCTGAGATCAGGCTCTGCCCTGTTAGGGCTGTTTTGGGGCTCAGGGAGGAGGCAGCAGGTAAGTGACGTACAGGAGGTCAAAATAACAGCGGCTGCTGAAGCTGGACCAGTGACTTGTCTCATATCTAACAGGGATGTTGTAAACACCTTGTAGGAGCTGTTCCCTGCAATGTACACAAGCTGTGGCCTGGCCTTCCAGTACACCGTGCTCGTGGGATCCAGCTTTGGGAGCTCATGACAAAAGGAGTGTTTGGTGCTTGTGAGATGTCATTTCTGATTCAGGTCTCCACGCCGGAAGTGCTTGGAGGATCCAGGGATGCAGATGGAGCACCTGAAATGGAGTATTTCCGGTTGGGAGAGATGTGAAGGATAGTCTGGATCTCACAAAGGGAGTGTGAAAAGGCATCCATCCATCCATCCATCCATCCATCCATCCATCCATCCATCCATCCATCCGTGTCCCGGAGCAGTTACTCTTACAGACCAGGATGGCTCAGGTTTGTTCATGTGCCAAAAGGGACTTCAGATCCAGACAAGGGGGATGCTGGGGCAGAGATGATGGAAGCAGACGGGTGGGACTGGGCTGGGCTGGCCAAGATATGTCCCAAGGGGCTCCGTCCACCACAAGCATGATTCAATAACTGAAGTTCAAGAGAGCACATGACTTGTTCTGCACCAAAGATCTTGGCATCACTCAGACATCAGCTATGCAGCTCCTTGGGATGTGTCTGCGTCTTCAGGTGGGGCAGGGGAAGCCTGGGGCGGTGAAAAGACAGGCTCTGATGGTACAGCCATGAAGCTGGGGCAGCACCCAGCTCTTGTGGAGTGCCCTGTGTAGCCCCAGCCTCCTCGCCTGCCCTGCTATGTGGTCTCTGCTTGAAAAGTGGCAGAAAGCAGGAGCAGGGCTGGATTTGACAAGAGCACGGCACTCTGGGTTTCTGTAATGAGCTGGAATTACAAACCCTGTGAATCCAGCGACGGGAAGCGAGTGCGCTGCAGTTGTCTCGATGGGAGGTCTGACCTTTCTGAGCTTGAAATTCAGGACTGAGAACGCAAAATCCTGCCTTTTTTTTTGGCAAATTCTGTGAGTTTTCCTCCAGACCATCTGGAATGGAATGCGGGGTTGGATTTTTTCGTGCTTTAATGTGTCTTTTATTTCGCAGACAAGACATCTAGAGCCTGGATGAGGAATGAGGCAGG